AAGTGCTGGACCCTGGTCATGTTGGCCGGCTCCAGGGAGATCTCCATCTTCGGACAGGCACAGAAAAGACTGACGTGTGTCCTGAGGAGGCATTAAAAAGTGATTAAAAGGCTGCTTGTTACATGGAGATTCTAGTGACTTTACCATCTCATCTGCTGGAAACTGGAGGGAGAGAGAGAGAGGGAGGGAGGGAGATCATGAGATAAACAATACTTGGGCACACCAATCACTGCTCTTGCTAAACCTCCTGTGACCTACAGAAAGAATTTGACCTTCTGAGAGTTTGGGAAATGACATTTGCTTTTCATGAAACTAAATTAAGAAACGGGTGGAAGAATTTAGGACTATTTGTATTTCAGTTTTTAATAACATGCTGTCATTCTAGACTGTTTTCCTACTTTCTCCATCAAGTTAGGAGTATTTGCTAAAGCTCATTGTAAACCAGACCTTCAACACTCCTGCTGTAGAAATGTTCTGCTTTTGTTGACGTGATTCTGTGTTCTAGATGTGTATTAATGCCCTGGGTCAGGAATGGTTCTGCTCAAGAAGAACAAAAGATCATTTCTGTGTGTGAATAATCCTGATATTCCTACCAGAACTGACACCAATGTGAAGTTTGGAAATTCCATTTTTGTGCCCTATCTGTATGGTCATGAACATCCCTGTTATTTGCATGCTGTAGCATTTGGGGAAGCTGAGGGCCAGAGAGGAAATTACTGGTGTGGAGTGTGGCACACGCTCCAATTATGAAAACTGCCGCGATTCTCCGAGCCCCCTGCCCCGTGCCAGGGTCTCCTCGTACCACTTAGCTGTGCTCTTCGGCTCTGTTCCACAGAGAGGTGTGGGGCTCAGACTGGCTCTCCACCACCCAAGGCCACACAGCAGGAAGCGCCTTGCTTATCCTGACTTCAGTGCTGAGCTAAGTCCACCCCTCTGCATAGTCACGTTCTCGGCAGGGGCCAAGAAAGTCTCCCTCACCTGATGCTCACAGTGGAGGGCGGTAAACGGTCCAGCTCGAGTCCTTCAGCCTTGTGGAGTCCCCCACAGAGTTCCTCTGTGACGTTGACGGGGCTCCCGCTCTGTGTGAAGCAGGGGCAGCTGGGCAGGGAAGCACACAGATCGATTCTGGAGGGGCCAGAGCTGTGCCAGGGTCGGCACAAGATCCTGGGTGGTGGCGGAAGCAGCACGTGGCCCAGAGCCCCGCTGGAGACAGATGGCGGGTGTTGCAGGGGGAGGGCAGCTGCTGCGATGTCTGCAGCAGAGAAGTGTCCTCGAGGCCTCGGGAAACCGCACCATCTCCTCCCAGGCCCTTACACTTTTGGACTTTTGGGTCTCGACTCCCTCCCTTCCCCAGGCAACGCCCTCCGGATTCCTCCAACCCGTTCTTGTGGACAAAGCCTTCCACCCTCCTCTCAGGACCACCACTGCTTCACACAAAATGCAGTGGCCACACAGCAGGAAGCAGGGCCCCCGCCCTCTCGGCCTTTCTCTCTAAGCCAGCTCCAGGCCGGTGATGGAAAAACTCAGCCGCTGCATTTCAGCCCAGATGCCCAGACAAGCTGCCCACCCGACACCCTCGAGCCGAGTTTCCCACCTGCCTAGCGGAGTCAGGGCCGAGCTCCGTCCACCTCTCTTTGTCTCTCTTTCCCTCTCCCCCTCTATCCCTTCCTTCCCTGCCCCTCTCCTTTCTCTTAGAGGCATTTATCTCAGGTCTGCTTGTCATAATGTGCTTTGTTTACAGTTCAGCACTTCCAGGCAGCTCTCTTTCTCACCCCTGAGATGTGGGCGGACAATTGCCCAAGTACCTCCTAGGTGTGCACCCCATGAACTTCCTCACATGGGGCAGATGGGTCATGGTAACCAGGCGCTGGGCCTCCAACACCTCACTGCTTTCACTGATAATTCACCTTGTATCAAAGCCCCCCATCCCAGAGCGGGTCTTTCCTTTCTAGCAGAAGCAGGGTAGTTCCCAGTACACGGGTCCAGCGGGCCAGGTCCCCACCTGAAGTCCACTCTGGTCTCCAAGGTGTTGTGAAGAGCAGGCAGCAGGCCCAGCTCATCTGATCCACGGAGTCTAGCACAACCTCATACAATCACCCTTTCAGATAGAAATAAATGAATCAGCCAGGTGTGATGGTGCACGCCTGTAATCCCAGCACTCGGGAGGCTGAGGCAGGAGGATCGTTATGAGTTCGAGACCAGCCTGGGCTACAAAGTGAGCTCAAGGCCAGCCTGAACTGCATAGCGAGATCCTGTCTCAAAAAGACCAAAAACAAAAAAAAAGAATCAGCGAGAGAACTGTGCCTGGAGAAAAGCTTGAGGGCAAAGATAGCAGCACGTTAGGGAATTGCGGGCACGTTCTCGTTCTCTGGGTGTGGGGAAGACAAAGGTAGGGTCTTGCGCTGATCTGACAAATGCCAACTTCCTCCAGTATTTATCCAGCACTTACCGCACGCCTGTCCTCGAGCTGAGGGTGCCCGCTGACTCCTGAGAGGAAGGACGCACAGTGCCAGGCACGGTGGGGATGCGTCCGTGCCAGCGAGTCCCAGGGTCTGTCACTGGAAACGGTTTGTTGAACCACAGCCAATCCTAGAGTCCGGGTGTGGAGGGGTGCCTGGGTCCCCGGGGGCTGCTCGGGAGGGAAGGCGGCTCTCAGCGGTGACTCTTGACGGGAATGTGGTCCAGGAGCACGGAGCGTGAGGCCCCAGGAAACGGCACTGCGGAGGGGGCACAAAGCCTGGGCGAAGAGGCAAGGGCAGGCGAGGGGAATCCTGAGGTCTGCGACGTGGGCCTCCTGAACAAGAGGAGCAGGAAGGGGTGAGAGAGTGAGCTGGAGGCTCAGCCCACACAGAGCCGTGGGAACGCCGAGACATCTGCAGATGCGTGCTGCGGGCCTCCGCCATCCCTCCGTGGGTTTTACAGGCACTGCACCAGGGGGACCTGATTCGACTCAGTTCTCGCAGGAACCTTGGTACAATCCTCTCACCTCCCCACACCACAGGAGAGTGGCTGAAGGTCAGCGAGCAGAGGCGACCGTCCAAAGTCAGACACGTACAGGAGCAGGGAGGAGCACACACACATTCTAACCACGACATACAGACCCTTCCTCAAAACTCAAACCACAGCCTTGGAGCTGGGGGCTTGTAAGGCTCAGCCAGTGTCAGTCCTGGCAGGGGTGGGGGGCAGTCTATCCCAACCGAGGACGCCTCGTGGGTGAGCACCGTGCTGGCCAGCACCGTCTGTGATGATCCCCTGGCTCCGCCGGGGAGCCCACTCTGGCCTCAGCCAGGCCTTGTGCTGGCTGTGTTAGAAGCAACCAGGTGAGATGCCGGGTGCAGAAACATGCGTCTTCCTGGAGGACTCTGCGCTCCTCCTACGGCCGTGTCTCCCTCCCTGGGCGGCAGTGGCCGTGACTCCCCTCCTCTGGCTGTCCCTCGGGTCGTCTGTCTCCCTGTCAGCCCCTCCTCCATGAGCGCTCTGCTGTCTCCACCCCGACTGATGCATGCAGACACACACAGAGGTAACCTGGCAAACCTGCCTTTCACACCCGCCACCTAAGTGCACACACAGGGCACAGCAGCGTTCCGAAGCCCGGACCCACAATGTTCCCAAAGACCTGTCATCGCTGGACTTCCAGGAGCTGAGCCAGACTAGAGAATCACGGTCACGAGGAGTGGTCACTACTCCCTGAGGATAGGGGCCATGGTGCTTTTTCACCCCGTGCTTCAAGCAGCGCCTGACCACCTCCAGCCGAAGCCTAGCGGCACTCAATGACAGCGAGTCACATGTGCCTCGAAGCAGGAAACCCCTCTGCTGCAGGGGCCGCACGGGGTGCCCGTTAGGGGCTGAGTCTAAGTGTTGCAGAGCTGAGTGTAACCCTTTTACACTAAATAAGGCCCAGGGCTTCTCTCACAAGAAAGCAGGCTCTTCCCTTGCAGGGTCTGTGATTGTTTCCAACTGCTGCATCCCGCAGCCACTTTCTCAGATAAGCTGAGCTCCGGGAGACAACCTGGGTGCAGCCTCAGGCAGCGGCACAGCTCTTGCTTAACCCCCGGCAAGCCTTCTTGACCTATTCAGCAACATAACCATAATTTTTGCTTATGTCATCCATCCTGCATAACAGTGAATGCCAATGACCACGCTCTTTGGAGTGGTAGAAAACAGAGTCAAAAGCAAAGCAAAGGTTCTGAAGTGAGACAGACACAAGAAGGTTGTATTTCCACTACTAATTACGTGATGTTAAGGAAACCAGTCAACAGACCAGCCCAGCTGAGAGAGACAGAGAGAGAGAGAGAGAGAATGAATTACTACCCTTGCAGGTTAACCCAGACAGTATCTCTAGAGCACTCAGAGTCTGCACCCGGTCTGCCTTACGGGTTCTGTGAATGAGATTTACTTTCCGATGCTCCCTGTCCTCACCCAGGACAGCTGATGATCTTCTCACCTGATGGTGGAAAGTCGAGGACTGCACATCCTCCCTTGTTGTGCCCTCACCTGAAGGGGACTCCGACGCCCAGGTGGATTCAGCTCCTGCCTGGAGGACGAGACTTGGAGCGGGGAGGACCAGCGTGGGCCAGCTCGACGGGAGCTGTTCCTGGTGCTGAAGCAGGCCCGCGCTCTCCCGCTCAGTCTCCCTCTGTTCTGGGTCTTCCAGCTGTGGGTGGCTGCCCTCGCTGTTGGCTGAGGCAGGGAGGCAAGCTTAAGGCAGAGCTCTGGACCACAGGGACTTCCCTGGCCTCTGCGGACCGGGGAAGGTGGAGAGGCCAGCTTTCCACTGAGGCTGTGCAGCTGCTGGTGAGGAGGGGAGGAGGAAAGGCGGCTCCCGACCCCCAGCCTTGGTCAGGGAAATGTGCGTTGACTGATATCTTCCTGATGGATCTGGGCTATGAAAATGACTAGGCAACTGTGCCAGCCTAGCTCTGGTAGACCGTGGGTGTGGTAGAACACACTAATGAGAAATGCAGGCTCACAAGCTGTTGAGAGGAGCTAATGGGCCAGAGGACCAAAGAGAGGACTAGAGGCTGAAAATGGCCCTTACTGAGTGCATACTGACACCTGTAGTCATAGCAACAGTCTCCCCGGTACCCGACTGATGGACGCCACCGGGTGTCCGTTGAGCGATGTGCACTGGGACACTTCAGCCTCAGAGAGAGAGGGGTTCTGAGATGCACTACAGTGTGGATGAGCTTTGAAGGCCTTACACCAAGTAAACAGCCAGTCACAAAGAGACCTACTGACCACTCTGCCTGCACGAGGCACTGGGGGAGTCAGCTACATACAGGGAAAGCAGAAGCCTGGGCCAGGGCTGGGCCAGCGGGGAGAAGTCAGCGAGGACAGCGGCAGAACTTCATCTGAACCTGAGACGGACAGAGACGCTGCTGGTGCCGTGGAGCGAAGCGTTCACTGGGAAGTGGCTGCCGTGGTAAGTTTTATGTTACGTAGGTGTATAATTTACCCGGACCAAACTGGGTTAACTGAGTGGAAATGCTGCCCTGTGGAAGGGGCATTTGGTCTGAGTCTCCAGAAAAACCACACAAGTGTATTTACATAAGAAACCGATCTAGACACAAGCCAAGTAGAAGCATTACAGCGCTGCACGCTACGGAGAACACTGTGAACATCTCCCCACTACCTTGCATGTAAAATAAACGAGCATGACATCGAAGCCTGTCTTCCCGACACGCATGCCTCCCTCCTTCCTCCTCACGCCCGCTGTGCAGGGAGAGCGTTGAATCACAGGGTCTTCCCACTCTCTCTTGGGGGTTCATAGACAAGAATCAACAGTGCTCTGCAAATACCACAAGGACCCATGTGGTAGACCAACTTTTATAGGAAGAACTCAGAAACAGATCTAATGATGTTTTCACATTCTAAACCTTCCATTAAATCAAAACAAAATAAATAATACCTCACAAGTACAAAACACTGAGTGACATGCTAAGATTCCTGGGGTAGAAGTCAGAATCAAAGTCATCTATTCCCCTGCCCCCCCTTTTTTTTGGTACTGGGAATCAAACTCAGGACCTTGTGCTTGCCAGACAGTCGATCCCCTTTTACAGTGTGATGCTATAAAATTATTTTTATTTAATGCTTCTCCAAAAATGACAACATCAGTATCAGTTGAGAGCAAGCAGTAGAAATCCCAAAAGTGTATTGACAGAAAACTTCTCATTTCTCTACTGTGCTCTTTCACCACACTGTGCACCCCCACTTTTCCCCTGGGTCTTCACTTCCTACCTGAGGTATCTGTGGACGCCTCCCTTCCCCCCCCAGTCATACACACCCCGAGACACGAAGCGCACCAACCCCCAACTTTCCGAAACTGCTTCCTCTGGTGGCAGAGGAATTTATTCTGCTTGGAATAAATCCAATTCATCCTCTAAAGTTTAAGTCAAACACACATCTGCAGAGTATCAGTTCTCTTTTTCCGGCCACACAGAACTGGCTCCCCCCCTGGGAAAATGTGTGGCGTGCAGGAGTTGCTTCTGGACCCATCGCCGGCTCATCTTCCAGGTGTGACAGGAGACTGCTCTGGCGTGCTGACCTCAGCAGACTGGGAGCTCGGCCCTGGACTCCTCTTTCAAAACCTGCACACCTCGACAAGTTCAGCAGGTCCAGTATTCCACAGCGAAAGCCCCGCCCTCTCCTCATAGAGAAGACAGAAATCGCAAATATGTGTAAGTCACTGCTCTGTGGAAGTTAAAATCCTACAAGAGGAAGCGTTTTAAAAGTTGCCATGGTGCAGGTATAAAGCCATATACATTTTCTGGAAAATGAAATTAGTATACATATGCATCACATCAGTATGGTATTTTTGAAAGTCTTATTAAGTTTATAGGAACAGTTTAGATATACATGGTGATCGTGTTCATCACAGGGAATTTGTGCCTGCATGTGATATATCTTGATTCCTGTATGTTTTCCCCATTTCCTTACCCTTCCTCAACCCCTCTTCCCCTCCTCACTTACAAAGCTTTGTTTTCGTTTTACCCTCCTGTTATCATTTTTTCTTTTCCCCTCCCCCTCCCCAGCTCCCCTTTCTTTTGAACCATTTCTTCCCATTTCACAGTACCTGTGACACACTTTGGTCCTGATTTACACTTTCAGTGTCTGACACGAGAGGAACAATTCAGTACAATAACAGACAGTGAATAAATGCTAGTTCATCTCCAGCCCGGCGGCTTAGTTGCTGCTGTACACACTCAGGTCTCCCCGCCGGGTCTCCTCTCTGATTCAGAGAGGGCAGAACATTAAAAACTTTTGCACTCACGTCTGGTCACATCCCTCAGCGTGACATGATGGACGCGTGCGTAGCTTCACCTCCCCGAGAGGAGCTCACGGCCCCTCCCTGCCTGCTCCCGGGTGACGGTGACGCCTGCACAGCCCGAGGTGTGGAAACAGGCCCTCACACAACTGCGGCGAGGCTGGAGGACGGGGCGCCCGGTGACTGCACTGGTGCCCTCACACTAGTGCCACGGACATCGCAGCCCTGACCTTAACTAACCTTGGCATCAGTTCAGAACCATTTTAGTGTTCTGTTATTTTTTATTAGCACATTTTGCAGCACACCAAGTTTACATTCCTCTTGCGGGTGGGCACGTGTGTCTAACACAGCTTGCTTCTATTTTTTTTAATTCACTTCTCTCTCCCTTCTGCCCCCCTCCCTCTATTTCTAAACCCCTCTTACCCATTTTCATTCCTGCTGTTATTGTTATTATTTGCAGCTCGTGTTTATGACGTATAATGTTTGCATGCATTGTGGCCATTTGGTTCCTTTATAAGACGTTATCTCAATTCTCCTTACGTCCCCTTCCTTTCCCCTGCTGCTGTCACCCTTGGTCTCCTGGACCCCTCCCCACTTGCAAGAGATCTGTCCTGCTGTTTCCTTCTATTCATCCTTTAT